TTAATAGTAATTAAAGGATTGATACTGCTTATAACCTTTTGCCAAAGTAAATTTGGTTTGATCATTGTATATCATCAGTCAGGGAAATCTGGGTAATGCTGAGGTACAATTATCTCTAAACCTTGGGGATTTGGAGTAACAAAGGTTTATTTCTTGCTCAGACTACCTGTTCATGAAAGGTTAGCTAGAGCCTATATATTTTTTTATTTTCTTATTCTTAAACCCAGACTGATTGATAATTTCTCATATAAAACATTACTAGTTGCCTAGCAAAGGGAAGAGAACATGGGAAGTCTTTTACTTACTCAAAGGCTTCCACGAAGAAGTGGAACATATAGCTTCTTCCACTCACATGTGATTTGCTAAAGCAGTTATCATAAGCACAGATAGCTTTAGAGAGGGTGGAGAAATTCAACTGTAGCATGTACAAAGAAGTAGAGAACTGGCCCAATTTTGAAATCCTATTATCACAAAATGACAGTCATTCCATGTAGGGTTGATTTGTTTTCTTGCTCTATAGTTCTACTACTTTAGAAAATACTAACATTCAATTTGGTGATTGGCCAAAGAAGGCAGTTTTTGGTGATTATGACATTTTGTTCTGTATTTTTGCTTCAAACCTGCATATAGCAGTTATAAATGTGGGAGTAAGTCCTTACAACAGACCACTGTTTAACAGCACATGATCCTCCAGGTCACTGAGCACATCATCCTGAAAAGCAGGAGAATGAAAATTTTACACCTTGGAAGATGATGATAGTACATAGGTAGTTTTTTTTTTTTTATTACTTTGTTGCCACAAGAATTTCTTTGTATTCTGTTGCAGAAATTAGATGTCTTCTTAAAATATGATCACTTATACATTTATTGATTTTTTTTTCTCTGAGGCACAAAGAACATGAAGTTTTGCAGGGGCAAAGCCTAACTCTTGACAATTGAGCTATTTGCACTGCAATTCAGTTCTCTTACAGAATTCTTATTCAAAAATCAACATTTCATAATCATCATATTTCACCCCGATTTATAAGTTTAAATTAATCCTGCTAATTAATAAAATGTGAAGCTAAAGCTTAAAGTCATTTGAAATTACAGAAATTATTTTACTGAGAATATCGGTACTACAAAATATTTATTTCACCTCTCATTCAAAAACCTGTGTAAATAGGCCCTTATCAGCCTGCATATCTCATTACAGAAAAGTAGTATCATGTGTCAGCCCATTTCGCTGTCATGTTCTCTAAAATCACTTGCACAGATTAGATGCAATTTAAATATTGATCAGGGCTCTTTAGAGATCCTCCAGCAATAAAACACAATTAAGAAAAGTATTGCTTACCACTATCTGTATTCTGTGAATAAAGATGTGTGAGGATTTGCATTCAAGTGTAAGTTATTTCTTGATAGAGAAATGCTTTTCTTAGTTGTACATGTAGATGGTGTTCCTTCGGTACTGATCTCAGCATATAGTTTTCATGCTTTCTTATGGGTTATAGAAAAAAACAGTTAAGGGAACTTCTAATCTCTTTTAAGGCCATCTATTTTTAGTTAAAAGATAACATTTTATCAAACTATTCTCTTCATATAGGTGCTGCATATACGTCAGGAGCTGATTCAGTGGTTTCATCCAAATGTAAAGCAAAATATGGAATTATTTCAACATATAATAATAGCTACTGTTACACTTATGTAATACAATAAAAATATTTTGGCAAAAGCTTGTCCTGCTTTCTTTTTTAAGCATAATTTGTGTTTTACAATCTTGTCGGCAAAAGTGTGACCTGTGTCTGTTTTTGCTCTGGTGAGTGCAACTCAGAATGACACCACTGTCATTTTTGTTCTTTTCTCTGTTTTGCATGACAATGTGTTAATAACTTTCATAAGGAAAAGTATTAACTAGCAAATATTTCTGAGAAACTCAGATAACCACAAAAATTCTGAGCATTATTTGAATAAAAAACCAAAACTTCAAAATCCTTTTTTTTTTTCTTGCCAGTATTACAATCAGCACCTAAGATACCAGGAAAGAAAGTAGTCTAGGCTCACTAAAATGTAATTTTGAGACATTTATTATCATACTTTATTGCTGCACTATTCTTGACTGGCATTTGGTTTCACCTGCCTGGCAACATGCATTTGTACTTTATATTTTAATTGAAGAACTTTTCACTAGCGAGATTCATAATACTATTCAGAATTGTTGTTTATATATTGCTATATTTCCCACAGTAAATGTAAATCAACACAATAAAAATAATAAAGAAAATTTAAAACTTAGCAAGTAGAAACAATATCATACAAATGGCATGAAATGTTAGGCAAGATGAAGTAATCTTTTACAATTCCTGTGTAACATGCATTGCCTTTAAGAACAAAATTATTATTAAGGACTTTACTATAAATATAAAATTAATATTACTAGTTCAAATTTATAAAATGTAAGGTAGATAAATTACATCTTCTGCTTTTCCTGTAAAAATATTATGTCTGTCTATAAATCAGTTATAGACGTTCATGGACTACCAATGATGCAAATATAATTTACCATAGGAAGAGTTTGTTAGATATATTTATAATGCCTATACAAAGCCCTCATACTTATTTTCCTTTTCAATATCATTCTCTTTTACCTTAGCAAACTCTAAAACGAAAGGCTAGTGTGTTTATTTGAACATATACCCATAGCACATTTACATTTCCAGACTCAACTTCTTCCCCAGTCTTCAGACTTAGATGCCTGTTAAATATCTACTTGGATATCTCAAAATCATCATCAACTTACTACGTCCATAACAGAGCGCTTGGATAGTCTTCTGCAAAACTAGTCCACCTTATTATAACATCACTCTTTCAAGTGTTCAAGCCCAAGCCTAAGATTCAATAGAGTTTTCTTTCTTTGACACCCCATTGTGCCATCTATTTCATTAACGATTTCTGCTGACTTTGTGCTCAAAAAATATATCTAGAATCAGACAACTTCCCATTTTGCAGTGCTGCTACTTTTGTCCAAGTTGCTATCATTTCATCTCTCACTCAATCTACTCATTACTTTAACACTAGTCTCTCTTTGTTTCAACTTTTGTACTCACACTTGTAGTCACATCACAGCATCCAGACAGATATTTTCAAAAACCAAATAAAATCAGGCCAGAACTCTCCAGGGTCTTCCTATCATGCTTAGAGTGAAATCCAATGTACTTACTATATGGTCTGCTAGGCCTACGTGTTCTGTACTCCAGCTACCTCTAGGGAGCCTACTTTGCTAATTCTACTGCACATATAGTAGGTTTTGGTTTTTGTACTTGTGATTTCTTCTGCCTGGAACACTATGACTCCTGACATTTATATGACATCCATTACTTTAAGTAGTTTTTGTTCCTGACCACATTAAATAATAGAGCTTCAACCTGGCCCCTCTAATCCTGCTTTATTTCTCTCCAGTCTTGTCACTCTGATATTGTATTGTATAGTTATTTATCATAGTTTTCTCTCACTAGATTGTGAGTTCCATGGTGGTAGGGACTTTGAATTAATCATAAGCCAAATACCCAGTGAACAGAGGTATATATTTGATGTATGCTATTCTTTGGTTAGTTCTGTGGAGAGCAGAATGCTAAGACATAGAAGAGATGGTAGAGTCTCAAAAAGAAAAATCAGTCATCAGTTTTTGGAGGAATGGCACTCAGTGAAGGAAGAAAACAATGTATAGGCAATTTGGCCTTGGTCTACAGAGTGAACACAGGAGTGACAACTACCCAAGAAGACGCTCATATGGTTTTGAGATATCTTGTACCTTTCCCACTGAGGGGAAGCTAGTGGCAAAGAATCCATATGCTGAGAAATCTCCTTACAGCCTTCAATCAAATTTATAGGTTAAAACTTCGAAACATTATTATGGTTATGTACTTAAGCTGTGTTCAATATGAACAAAAATTAAATAGTGAACACTTCACCTGACAAATTTAGCACAAGCACAGCCTAAGTCACCGAACTCCAACAGAGGTCAAATTTTACATGCATTGCATGGGCACCAGTTTAAATCTGTAGTGAGAAGTTTTGCATGTCTCTACCTTGGTCCTTCCTGCACAGTGACTAAACTGGTATTGTTGAGGCAGAAGAGAATACATTAGCCACAAGAGGAGTTGTAAAGAGAAGGGAGAGTGACACAAGGGTTCATGAGCGGTGCCTGCCCTATGCTGCAATAAACTCTCTAGATAGTCACTGGATTCAACTGACTTTGGAGAGAATAACAGTAGGTAATTCATCACTGAAGACTTTTGACAGGGCAAATAGATTTACGGACTGTAGGTTCTAACTAATGAATTATTACCTGGTTCCTGATGGGGAAGGAATAATGTGTTACCAAGTAAAACAACATAGCTTATAGATCTCAAGTGGCTTATTCTAACCAACTAAATTCATTAGTTGAATGCTCAATCCTACCACAAGTCAATACGAAATTCAAATAGTCGTTTCAACATACTTGTTTCAGCTTAGTCTTCTTAAAACCATTAGTCAAGAAAGCATTACGAAGATTTGCTAGAAAGGCACACCAGCCTATCTGTGTATTTTCCATTATTGCCTTAAACAGTACTGTTTAGTCAGTAGGAGGTCACTACTTCAGATTTACCTGGGGAAGAATTCGTCGGATGTTCTTCTTAGACAAACTCAGCCCCCATTAATGATAACTATTTCTACCTGAATTTCCAGGTGGCTTCATGTGACCACTAAACAGCATAGACCACATGCAACCATCACCTGCTAGGCAGTTCCTTCACTGGTACCAGAAGATCAACATTTGGTTTTATGTGAATGTATAAATCCTGGCTGGATCTAATTTAGCAGACTAAATTATATTTTATGGTCTGTCCAAGGTAGTTAAAAACAGAAAATTAAAATGTAGTTCCAATCTTAACAATTTCAACTGTTTGTGTAGAAAAAAACATGTTTTCTACGCAGAAGACATATGGCTGAATTTAGTTATTAAAATTGTAGTGCCATACCTCTCGAATAGCTGTACAAAACTCACTCTGAAGCACTTTTTTGAGGGATTGTAGCTTGTGCACTGGTACTTCTCCAGATTCCTGTAGTTTTTCCAGTAATTCAATTGCTCTTGCAACATCTGAATGAAAAAAAAAATCAAAATAGAGAAACCTAGAATACATTGTATCTCATCAGCAAAGTACCATTATTCCAATTGAATGATGACATTGAAAAGCAGGTTGGAATTAAACTGCAAAATCAGAATTTATAATTCATAGCTTATTGGTCTCGTTTTTTGGAAAAGGTCATTTTAATTTGTGCCACACATTTGTTACTCCATACCTCTTTTTTGATGGGATTTCATGTATGTTATGTGTGCCATACAAATGAGTTTGAATATTATGTCAGTAAAGAAGAGCTGGAAACAAGTTTATTATTTATTCTGATACTGCAACAACCAAACTAATTATGTCAATTTTACCTCTGAGATGCTTCTTTTCAGGTCGACCTTTCCTTTCTCATTTGATTTGTCACAGCGGCAACATTACATGTATTAGTATGATGAATGCATTGATGTGCATCTCCCCAGTTTGTCCATAAACTCCTTCAGGATGAGAACTTGTCTGGTTTGGTCACCATTGTATTCTCAGGGTATGGTATATTACAGTGAATACAATTAATGGAATCGCTCCATTTCACTGCCATTGCATTATTCCAGAGCCTCGTCATCTCTCCTCGTCCAATTGGAATTATTTCTTCTCGTCCAGACTCTTCATGTAGTCCTCAAAATTATCTTTCTAAAACAAAAGTCTGATCATGTACCCACCTACCAGCCTTTAGAACATCACTAATGAATAGCAATTATTTTAAATACTTCTCTTTCACTTGACAATTTCAAAGGTTAATGTATTGAGAAATGTATAGTCTTTATTGCCATAAACCTTAAAATTCCCTGGATTATTTCATATTGCCAAGAGAAAATAATACAATGAAAATCTATTTAAAAATTCTTATGGGTGATCTCTTCTACCCCTGTTGTTGCAATTAATAACTCACCGAAAAGCCACTTAAAAATTTATGTTATAGGGCGTAAGGTTTTTGATTCCTAGGTGCCCAGCCCCAGAAAGCATCCTACATCCCTGCCATAAGCTTACAAATTTATCCATTCACCCATCCATCTAGCAATTTGAGTTTTTGTTATAAATGCTTCGTGCCAGCTTAGCAAGAATATGATACTTCCTTTCAAAGCTTGCAATCTAATGAGAAAGAAATATAATAGCATAGCCACCTATAATAAAATTGTTAGCACTTCAGAATCTGAGTGGGCTTAGCATAGGTTTATGTATCTAACTGAATAAAATAACAAAAAGTGACTTTGAGGGAGACTGTTTTTGAAACAGTCGTTTTGATTGCCAGTGGTGGGCCAAAGTAGCATAAATCATTAAATCAATGTGACACTTCCAGTTTCCAAGGTCTATCTTTCAGTACACAAACGGGAAGTCTACACAGTCAATCAGACAATGCCAGGCACTCCCACAATCAATAAGGTGCCTAACTGAGATTTTATGCATTTCTAACTGCAAAAAATACTCTACCTAGACTGTAGTAAGCCATGATTACACCACTGGACTCCAGCCTAAGAGACAAAATGAGACCCTATCTCTAAAACAACAACAATAACAATTCCCCTAAAACTACTCTTCCTTTTTTTTTTTTTCCATATTTCCTTTAATTACTTTCCCCCAGACAAGCCATCCTCTCAAGCTAAACTACGGTGTCTTTCACACTCCTTCCTGCATGCAGGTAGTCGGCAGGTGCGGTAGATTCTCTATTGGAATTGCCTTTTGAAAACAGCCCCTTCACTCTCAGGGAAGTTTTCTTCATTTCTCACTCACAGTACTGGAACATCTAATGGATCTCCTTTAAATTAGTCTTCTTTCTCAGTCCATCTGCCACATTGCTTCCACAGTAATGGTCTTGAACGGTCAACCTAATTATTATTTTTCTGCACATAAAACCTTCCCTGGCTTCCTACTCTCTACAGAGTAAAGTTCAAGGCACTTAGGTTTACATATAAGGACCTTAACAGCCGACTTCTCGCTCATCTCTGAACACCTCCTCCTGTCCATCCTACAGCTGGGCCATGGAAATTTTTTGCTATTTCTAGGACATGCCACAGAATTCCACACCTCTATGTCTTGGCACATAGCATCCCCTGTTTCTGAAATGCAATTCATTTATTCACACAGTAGTGCTAGCCTTTGGCTGTGCACAGGAGACAGCCCTTTCTCTTGCTTTCAGTGGAACTCACAGGCTTATGGGGAAGGGGTCACAGACATGCAATAAAGTTGGCGTGTTCTATAAATGAAGCACTACGGGCTTGTCCATGGATGTAAAACAAAGACATTTATCATCATCAAAGAAGTCAGGGAGGATCTATTTGTGGAAATAACTGCTAAGCAGAGTCCTAGGTAGGAGGTGTAAGTGGAGAAAGAGGAAAGAATATTCAAGACAAAGGGAATAAATGCAGATCAAAGGCTTGCTAAGAGAGTGTGGGATATTCAAAGAAATGAAAGGCGTTTATTATAGCGAAAGCTAAAAACAGGGCGAGAGTAGCAAGAGATAAGTGGAGAGAGAAATCACATCGTGGTGGGTGTTTAAGGCCATATAAGGGCAGACTTGGCTTGAAAACCATCTTCTCCACAATGTCTTTCCTGACTCTCTGAAACAGCTTCAGTTGCTATCATGTCTGCATTTCTGCAATTCTTTGTTCGCCCAGCTATTTTAATAATTACTACCCCCTGTTTGCATGCACATCTCCCTCCTTTATGTCCACGAATGTATACACTTCTTCAGATGTCAGGAATGAAACATCTTACTGCATTCACAGAATACCATGGCTCTGTGTCTTGGCACATATCATCCCTGTTCCTGAAATGCAGAATACCTAACAAATATTAAGTGTTTAATGCACATTTTTTGAATCAATGATGAATTAATTGATGAGACTGGCTCAGGAAGTCAGATGTTAGATGTCTGTGTCTGTGTGGACCTATAACTTCTCGTGAATCTAGTCCAGATCAGCCTTGGTGAAGCCTTACTTGGATCTGGGCTAGGAGAAAAAGGCAAGCCTAAATCTGCAGGCTGAAGAGTATTAGAGATGACACTGGGGAAAGTCCAGAAAAATTGAAAATGACACTAACCTGAATATTTAGTAGTTCTCAATCTGGGCTGTGCATTGAAATTATCTAGGGTGCATTTAGAAGCTATTAATGCCTGAGACCCATGCCAAACAAATTAAGCCAGAATCTGCAAAACAGTGGTTCTCAACCTTACTGCATATTAGAATTAACCAGAGAGCTTTAAAAAACACAAATGCCTCCGTCTGTCCCACCTGGTGAGTTTCTGATGTGATTGGCACAGAGTGTGGGGCTGAGCATGTGGCTTTTTAAAGTCCTTCACGTGATGCTAAAGTGCAGCCCAGGTTGAGACCACTGCTCCAGTTCGCATGGGCATTTTTTAAAGCCACTATGTGATTCCAATATGAAGCCAGGTTTGAGAACCTCTGCTACAGATTATTGGTTCTAAACATGAATGTGTTTAAGAATCACCCAGAAGTGCTTATTGAAATGCAGGTGCCTAATCCTCAACCCATTTGAGAAATGTTAATTCAGGAGATGTGAGGATGAGGCCCAGGAGTATGCCTTGTAAAATCATGCTCAAAGTGATTTTCTAATGGTTAGTTTACAGACCCCAGAGAGAGAAAAGTGAACGAATTTTTTTTTTTTTTTTTTTTTTTTTTTTTTTTTTTTTTTAGGTTTCTTTCATTCCAGAATTCTAGGAACTCTTGTACTCTCTATTACTGTTTAATATGGTGCATAACATGGTACTGAATGGGATTCTTTGAGCAGTTTCAGAATTATTCATAACAGCCCACAGATGACAGCAATTAGTGTTAAGGAGGTTGTTAGCAAAGGTGCTCATTGGAATCACCCCTGAAGTTTTTCTACCTGACTACTACCCCAGATCAATTAGCTCGAAATTTCTAGGAGTAGGATCTACTAAACAAGTTGTTGGTTTTTAAATTTCCTGTTTTTAGTTTCCACGTGATTTCTAAGACCATCGAGAGCTGAGAAAATTATTATTAAAAAAAGAGCCATCAAGGAAACCAGACATGTCTCCATTAAGACTTATAAAAGCTGAGCTGACCCTGTTCTATTACACCACAGACCTTTCCCAGTCCTCGTAAGAGGTCACTGGGAGATGAGAGAAAATTCAAGAATTGTTACATCATTAATTTGAGACAGTACTGGGTCTTTACTTCTCTTCCAACAACTAAGTAAAGAAGATTCTGACAGGAACAGTTGTAGCTACTGGCTGTGCCTGAAAGAAGGGAGACTAGCATCTCTTTCCTGGTAGCATAGGCAATGAACTTGGTGACCCACTTGCCCTCTCTGTCTGAGCGGAGGGAGACAGCTGAAAACCAGTGCCCACTGGAGCCTAAAGCATCTTGGGAGTACCCCTTAAACCATCTTGGGGGTACCCCTTAGACATCTTGCAGGTACCCCTTAAACCATCTTGCAGGTACCCCTCCAAGGGAGTCTTGCAATATAATATCAGGGATACACAGCAGGTGACAAAAGCCAAAGGAAGTCTGAAAACCAGAAGTGGGGGAGATCAAGTTCCTCTAGCCAGGCCTAGCCATTCTAGAAACAAATAGGTGGGAGTAATAAATGGACACGAGACTGGAGTTTTAAACAGAATTCTGATTCCCTTAAGTGCTGTAAGACTATCAGAAATCTGCAAGGCCAGGTTCTAGAAGGAAGCAAAGAAGGCTTTGAGTCAGCAAAATACTTTTATTCTTAAATCTGTTGGAATAAAGTGTGTGTGGTTTATTTATAGCAGTTCCCTTAAGGTTCTTGTTCAGAACCTCCTGATGCTTGTTTTATGAAACTCTTCTATCACATTTGATTAGTAACATAGAATTTGCAGTTTACTAGTATAACTCAGATTAAGAGGAATATTAGATAAAGACTGTGGAGGCTGCCAGATAAGAATAATGAAAGCAAGAAAGATTTTTTTCCCTTGAACCTCCTCCTATTGTCTGCAACTCTGATGATTACCACTCCCCCGATGCAT